TCCTCGACCTCGACCCGCTCGGCGACCAGGACCCCCATCGCGCCCCCGGCCGTCGGCGACCTGGCGCATCAGCTCGTAGCAGAGCGGCTTCTCAAAGTGCGGGCCCACTGTCATCAGCAGGCCGTCATCGACGTGGGCGTGGGCCGCCACGTCCTCGGCGCTCAGACTGCACTGGCCCCTCCTCGAATATGTTTCGTTCAGCATGACGAACTTCCGCCCTGGCGGACCCTCTGCTTCTTCCACTGGCTCGTGCGAGGCCGTGCTGTCGAAGGGCGCCAACCCCCGGGGCCTCCAGATTCCTGACGTACGAGCACTAAGGCACGGGTAACGCACCATCCAAAGACCCGGCACATACCTACAGGATAACTCTGAAGACGGCGCGATGCAAATATCCCCTGACCACGCTTACCTCGAACGGTGTTGTGAGCATGGCTCCCGTCACAATGCAATGGGCCTTCGGGTAGCTCCGTAGCCTTCGGGAGTTGCAATCTGAACATGGGCGCGTTCAGCCAGGCCATTCACCCCTTCGAGGACGAAGATCGAGGGGGGGGGGGGGGGGGCTCGCCAGGGTCCGCGGGGTGCTCCAGAAGAAAAGCCCCGCCCTGCGACAGTGCGGCTCCGCGCCAGCCTAAGAAGTCGAAAAGCAAAGCGTTTGCCTCGAGCACTCGCATCCTCTCATGGCTCCTCAGCGACGGCAGCCCCAGCAGGGCCCGCGCCGCATCCTGCCCCAGGTCGCGCGCGGCGGGCTGCCCAGCACCACGCCCAGCAGGCCCTCGCGCGCCAGCTCGAGGAGCGCTGCGACGGCGCGCGGGCCCAGCGCGCATCGAAAGCCAGGTCCACCCCAAAGAAGAAGATGGGGACCCCGCGCTGCTGGCAGAAGGTATCCGCGCGGTCCTGGACGTCACCCAGGCGCCGTCCGCCTGCGAAGATGCGCATCACTACCATGAGCCGCTGGAGCGACCTCTTGAGATAGCGCAGATTCTCGCAAGACTTGGCGACCGCGAGGCCCGACTCGCGGCGATCGGCGCTCCGCCTATCGCGCTGCAAGTCGACCCACTCCTGGACTTGGACACCCACCTCGCCAGACAGGCCAGGGGGCCGCGCGACGCGCCCCAGCTCCTTCTCCGCCAGCACCCGGTTGAAGTTCAGGATCTCGCCCAAGCTCTTCACGCTGATCGCCATCAAGATGCGCGCGGAGCGGGGGCTCGGCCCATCAGCAGCCTCAGGCAGCTCCGGCGGGAGCTGGCTGCGCGCCAGCACGGAGGGCAGCGCGGGCGTCGCCGCCCATGGCCGCCACCGCGACGGGGTCACGACGGACGAGAAGGCGTTCGACTCGTCGCAGCGGGCGAGGTGCAAGGAGCCCTCCATCACGCGGAGCTGCGAGAGGGCACCCCCCCCTGCTAGCCCGCGGTCTTCGCGGGCTCGGACGTGGCGCCAGATATCATTCGCAGGAACTGCCATGATCAGTTTCTAGAACTTCTCAGGATCTTTCTTCGGGGCCGCGCTCGCGCCATTGATGGCCTTGACGTCGGCGTGGCGCATGTAGGTCCACCAGCGCGGCAGATCGGCGCGGCACAAGTACTCTGCCCACTCCTCCTGCGAGCCTCCCAAGAAACCGTAGTGCTGCACCAACTCACGAAGCAGATGCTCACTCCTGCCGCTCCAGTCCACCACGTTGCTCTCCTCAGCGCAGAAGCGCGACTCCGACTCCTGCAGCGCCAGCAGCACGTCCACGGTCCACACGGTGGTCACCTCGTCGATGCGGTCCGCGACGAGCGTAGCATGCACTTGCCGCTTGCTCGTCCCCGAGTAGGTGACCTCGCTGAGTTTGGGCAGCTCGCCGATTGCCCGCGCGCCTGTCACCACTTCTAGCCGGCGAGAGCTGACAAACTCCTGGACGAGTCTGATCGCCCTCACCTGAGCTTGTCCTGCCGCTCCGTCGCTTCCACGAAGATCGCGACGCTCGACGGAGCGGCCAGCCTGCTGCCCCGAGCCACCAGCGCGATTCCAAGTCTCCAGCACTTGGCTCGCCAGCTTGTGGATGGTTCGCCGCTTCGCCTCCCTCTGCCGCAATGGGCCCGATAATGACGCGGGGCGCGCACGCGCAGCGGCAGCAACGGCACAGGAAGAAAATATCGTCCTTCCTGAAGAAGCAAGTGAATATCGGCAAGCTCTGAGAAGGGGGAAGCTCTCGTTATCGTAGGTCACGAAGGCGGCGGCGGCTGCTTTCAGCGGCCTCGCACCCTATCGTCGGCCCCTTCCCGGCTTCCATACGCCTCCGGCTCCTCGTCCTCCACGCAACCGTTAAAATAGTTCGCCTAGGAGGTACCCCCTGCTGCCAAGGCACCTCCATCGCGGGCGGGGGTGAGTACCCGCCCTTGCCCTTAGGGGGGCCTCCCCCTTTGGGCGTGCTCCCCCTCGGGCCCTTCGAATCGCGCCGCGCTTGGAACCCACGTGCTGCTGGGTCAACCAATTGCGCACCGACGTGGGCCCCGAGACCCTTCTGTTCCTGTAGGTCTCGCCGCCAGCCCTCCGAAGTCTGGAGGAAGGCTGTGGGCCCAGCGCTCAACCGACGTCGAGGCGGCGAGCCCGCTGCCCACGAAGCCGCCCGTGAACTGGTCCGCTGGCGCTTCGGAGCTCAGCACCGCCTTCGCGCTATCCACGTCGGGCGCGCCGACCGAAGCTCCGCCAGCGTACCCGCGGACCACCAGCGCCGCCTTCACGCCAGCGTCGAGCATCCCAGCCTGCTCGCGCGAGTAAACCCGTTGCCAGAACTTCGCACCCCACCACGGGCCAGTGGCGCTCGACGCCGCGAAGCCTTCCAGCTCCACCCTGATGGCCGCGGCGCAGGCGCTGGCGCCAGAGGGGGCCGCGAGAGCTGCTGGCGCCACGCCCACCGTGGGCGCCGGCGCCGCGGAGGGGTCGGCCAGCCCAAGCGCCAAGCCCTGCGTGGCCGCCGCGGCGAGGGCAGCGGAAGCGGGCGCCCCGCCCTGGCTGGCCGAAATCGGGCCTGGCAGCCCTCAACCGGCGCCGAAGGCGTGGAAGGCGGCGACATCCCCCGTCGGGGACCCTCGCGGGGGCTGGCGCCCACGTCCCTGGCGCGGCAGCGGGCACCGGCCCGATGGCGAAGGGCGGCGGGGGAGGCAGGCCCAGGCGGCCGCTGGTGGTCGCGTCCGCGCGGGGCCGCCGAAGTCGCCGTCTTCCGAGGCGGCGGCGGCGGGCGCCAGCTTCGCTAGCTGGAGAGCCACCAGCTGGGCCCTCAGGCGCTCGAGCTCGTCGGCGTCGTCGTTGCGGCGGCAGCACCAACTCCAAAGGCCCGCGCGCCACAAGGTGAGGCTGGTCCCGATGCGGCCCGTGATGACGGCCAGGACCAACCGCTGCACCGCGGCGCGCCCAGAGTCGGCCTTCAGGGCGCCGTCCGCGAGGCAGGTGACCAGAAGCAACGTGGCGCCTGCCCAGCCGAGCGCCCACAATTTGCTTGGGCATCCGCGCGTGGCGCCTGGCCCCTCGGGCTCCGAGGGCGCTGGAGAAAGAACCATGTTCGCGCTACGCTGGGGGCCCAAGCCCCCATAACTTCGATAGAAGAAAAACATGATGCCTGGGTTTTGAGCCCAGAAAAAACTACGAAGGGAGATCTCGTCTCACTTCACATTAAGTGACATTCAGTGGCCTCAGCCTCCAATAATAATCATCATCATCACCACCACCACCATCATCATCATCATCATCATCATCATCATCATCATCATCATCAGCATCATCATCATCATCATCATCGTCATCATCATCGTCATCATAATCACCCTAATAAGCATCATCATCATCATCATCATCATCATCATCATCATCATCATCATCATCATCATCATCATCATCATCATCTGCATCATCATCATCATCATCATCATCATCATCATCATCATCATCATCACCATCACCATCACCATCATTATCATCATCGCCATCATCCTTATCATCATCATCATCACCATCATCACCATCATCATCATCACCATCATCATCACCATCATCACCATCATCCGCCCCACCTCCTCCACCCCCCGTGCTTTCAGGAGGATGAGCAGAAACCGCACCTGCACGTGGGAAAGAGAAAGTTACGAAAACCAATGTGAATGCATCGGTTTTGACAGATTTATCTTGGGCTCTAGTGGGGCTGTCTTGGGGCAACAGAGAGCGTGTCGGAACGCTCGCTAACCATCTTGAGGCTGTCAGAGGCAGTGTTGAAGCCCTCTTGGGCCACCGCGGGCTCCTCGGGAGTGGGGAACACGCTATAGGCCACCTGTGAGTCTCATTGGAGTCACGTGCATGCCTCTTCGAGCCTCGTTTGGGGATCTCGTCGGGCTGTCCTGGATCCCCGAGGTTGGATGCATTTGGCGTCCCGGGGGCGGCCTGGCAGGTCTGAGATAAAGCGCTCCGCTCGTTGCTAGCCCCCGCTTCCCCCCCTCCCCCTCAGGCTGGCCACCCATCTGGGGTTGAGCACTGCACTGGCCGCCACCCCACCTGCGAGCACAAAGGCTTCGAGCCTCCGAGTCGAGGTTCTGGCTCTGCACGCCGCGCGCCGAAGGGTGCTCTCACTCTACGCCAACACCAATGTCGGGGAGCGAATTCTTGAGCAGGGACCGACCGTCCCGGCATTCCTATAGTCATACCACGAAATGTTCTTAGAACCCAAAAATGTTCTAAGAACAGAAACAATGTTCTTAGAACATCAGCCCGATGTGATAAAACAAGACAGTCCCCGCCGGAAATGTTCTAAGAACAGTTCGTGGAAACCACAAAAGGTTCTTAGAACATTGTTTGGTAGGGCTATAGGCGAGCCGGGACGCTGAGCCACTGCTTGAATTGCGGGAGGGAGGGAGGGAGGGAGGGAGGGGAGGAGGGGAGGGAGAGGAGGGAGGGAGGGAGGGAGGGGAGGGAGGGAGGGAGGGATCGAGGGGGGAGGAGGGAGGGGAGGGGAGGGGAGGGAGGGAGGGAGGGAGGGGAGGGGAGGATCGAGGGGGGGGGCACGGCCGGACGGCCGCTCACAGGCGCGAAGAGCGCGGTCGCGCGGGGACGCCGCGGACGAGCCGCAGCGCCAAGCATGCAGGCTGATTGAGAAATCCACTAGCTTTGCTAGGGGGCCACATGCGAACCCTACCCCTCAGAAATCGTGGGGGGTAGGCGTAGGGTTCGCATGTCGCCCCCTATTGGCGGAGTGAGCACGATGCGAGATGGACGGGGGAGGCAGCGGGATGGGAGGCCGACCAGGACGGAAGGCGAGGAACTAGGAAGGACCACACGCGGAGATCATCGAAAAAGCGTCCATGCTATGTGATGGCGCATCGGTACACGAACGCGTGTGCACACAGCGCTACAAGCGCAGTGTCGAAAGAGGGGAAACCTACGCTGATAGACAGACAGGCACTGTAATTAGCCGCAGATGGGCAGCAAGTCCCCAGGGAGGCACCAAACCGTCTTCCCCTGCAGGGGCAGGACGGGGGGGTGCCGCAGAGGGGACGCTGGACCACGAGTCACCTGGCAAGCGGTCAATTCTGACGCCTTTCAGGCGAACAGTAAGTCTAAAGAGCCCATCATCACGGACTCGCGCAGAGCCGCGGTAGACAACCCATCACAGCTGACTCGTGCCGACTGTGCACACGACCGCACAGTATGAACGGCCTAATGCTGCGCGACCTGGGGAGGGCCCTGCGCATTAAGCATGGAAGCGCCTGTGCAACGAAGGCATGGCGCCGGTGGCATGCAAATCCCGGAAGCGTGTGTCCGGTGCGTGAATTGGACGTGTGACGGGCGACCCTCCGGGAGCGCTTGGCCGCGCACCCTGGCGCGCCCGCTTCATTTGTAAATTCGGTGCTCCCCCGGCCCCCAGCCGCCGCGGCCGGGCCTGGCGCGCGCGCGGGCGCGCGGGCCTCACCTCTGCCCCCTCCCCCCCCAATCCCTCCTGCGCTTCCCTGCCGCCTCTCGCCACAAGGCTCGCTCTGCGCGGGAAAATCATCCTGGCGAAAGACCCAACCATCTGCAACTGTGATGCTGTGGCACCGCGTTCGGTGGAGCTCCCTATGGGACCACGAACCGTGTGAGGAGTCAAATGGGGCGACACCGTCATGCGAACCCTGCCACTAAGACCTTCGGTGGAGCTTCCTATGAGGCTTCTAACCGTGTAAAGGTTGCGCCAAAATGGGGCGGCGCCGGCATGTGGACCCTGCCACTGGGGCTTTCGGCTGAGATCCCTATGAGGCCACGAAACGTGTGAGTGGTGCGCCAAAATGGGGCGGCGCCGCCATGTGGACCCTGCCGCTGGGGCCTTCGGTGGACCTCCTTATGGGGCTACGAACAGTTTGAGGGATGTGCCCACTTGGAGCGGCGCCGCCATGTGGATTCTGCCACTGGGGCCCCAGGCGGAGCTCCCTATGGGGCTACGGACCGTGTGAGGGGTGCGCCAAAATGGGGCGGCGCCGCCATGTGGACCCTGCCACTGGGGCCTTGGGTGTAACTCCCTATGAGGCCACGAACCGTTTAAAGGGTGCACCCAAACGGGGCGGCGCCGGCATGTGGACCCTGCTACTGGGGCCTTCGGTAGAGCCTCCTATGGGGCTACGAGCCGTGAGATGGGTGTGCGCACATGGAGCGGCGCCGCCATGTGGACCCTGCCGGTGGGTCCTTCGATGGAGCTCCCTTCGGGGTCACGAAGCGTTTAGCTGGGTGTGCCGAACACAGACATGCGGAGGGCAGAGGCAGGGATGGGAGGAGGGAGGACGGGGAGGAGGAAGGAAGAAAGGAAGGCGGGGCGCTGTCTCTTCAGAAGGAGGGCCCAACACCACATGATGATTGGGAACAAGTAGCAAGTATGACTCGGACATGTTCTCCAGGCCAGAGCTAAGACAAGTACAGCGAGAATAGCGACCCTGTTTAGGGGCGGTAATCTCGAGCGACAATCAGCAGAGGAGAAAGCTGTGTGCACTGAACCGTTTCGGGTGGGAAACCGGCGGCCTCACTCCCAGCAAAACGCAGCGGCTTCTAGATGCTCTGCTTCTATCTTACCGCGAATCTTGAGCATGGCTACTGCTGCGCATGCGGGTAGCGAGCTGTTGTCATCATGTGAAAGATAATTGCTTACCGCCTGGCTCCAAGGCTCTTGTTCGGCGGTGGGTCTCACCAGCCTGTCTGGCAGTCGTGCATACTGGTGGTCCACAGAAGAAGCCTTCCGCGCACCATCTTAATAGACGCAATGCTCCCAGTCAATACAAGAAGATGCGGGTGAAACGCTACAAAAAGTCACCTTCAGGCCCGGCCTGAACGTGACGATCGGCGGCGGCGACGGCTCATGGCCACGACAGAGAATCTCGCGCCCCGCCAGGCTCCTCAGAGCACACTTGAAGGGCAACGATAGGGGGGACTGGATAAGGGGGGATGCATCGACCTGGAATCGGCGATACATCACCGATAGACCGGCGATAGGCCCCCGATAGTGAATCCGCACCTTCCTAGGCAGGCTGGGGCCATCGGGCCCCTATCGGCGATCAATGGGCGATTGGGGATCGATGCACCGCCCCTATGCCTATCCCCCCCTATCGTTGCCCCTGAACCCTGGGCCACACGAGGCACCAACAGGCGTTGAGGTGCCGCGCGCGCGGGAGCCCGCCGCGCGGGCGTCAGCTCGTGCGGCGCTTGTCCATGCCGCACCTCTCCATGTCCTGAGCAGTCAGCGTACCGAGGGCGAAGGCGAGCCCAGCCGCCGCCGGCCTTCGCTCGGGCTCGAAGGCGAAGCACTGGCGGAGGGCCGGCTGCGTCGCCTCGGCGAACCAGTGGGGCACCAGGGGCGGCCGCCCGCGCCGGAGGCAATCCATGATCTGCGCCACCTCGGGCACGTCCTCGAACGGGATGGGCCCCCCCAGGATCTCGATCAGACAGCAGCCCAAGCCCCAGATGTCGGCCTTCTCCGTGAACCGCGTTCCCGGGCCGTTGAACAGCTCGGGCGCCATGTAGCGCGGGGAACCAAGCAGCTCCGACCCCTGCACCACGGAGAAGCCATGCTCGAGCGCATGCGTCTTCCCGAAATCGCACAGCTTGGCATTACAGTCGGCATCGAGTAAGATGTTGGACGTCTTCAAGTCCAAGTGGGCCAGTACGGGGTCCAGGCCGTGCATGAAGTCGACAACCTCTGTCAATTGCTGTGAAATTTTCAGGCGGATGGCAGCTGGCAGGTTGACCCTGTTCTGGTAGAGCAAGCTGAATACGTTCCCCTTCGGCAGGTACTCGGTGAGGACGGCAAGGTTAGGGGGATCGAGCACGCAGCCGACGTACCCCACTACGCCTGGGTGCTTCAGAATGCGATAGGCGTTGATTTCCCGCTCGAAGTTGTGCATCTGCTCCTTGGTCATGGAGCCGTCGGCACCAGCGAGGCAGCGCTTCGCGGCCACCACCCGGTTGCCGTGCCTGGCCAACATCACCTCTCCGAAGGACGCAGTGTCTATGCATGCGCAGACCTGCAGATCCTTCCACCTGACGAGCTCCGAGGGCAGGATGTGCACTCGCAGCTGCAGGCCTGAGCCGCCCTCAGACACCTTCACGTCCGCAGACCTCCGCGCGGACGCGGGTGGGGTCTGCGTGGCCCTGGCGCTCAATCTCGGCCTGGGCGTCTGCTCCCTGGCCCTGGCGCTCAAGCTCGGCCTGGAACTCCTGGGCGTGTAGGGGTCTTTGTAGCTTGCAGATACTTCGGTGGCAACTCATGGGAGCCTCACATTCCATCTTGTCGGCTCTTGCGAATCGACGCTAAATCGACGCTAGTCGACGCTACATCGGCGCTGATCGCCGCTAAAGCGGCGCTAATCGACGCTAGCCGACGCTAAATCGGCGCTATCTCACTGGCTCCCAGACGCTAATCGACGCTAGTCGACGCTAGAGACAGAATTACGAGGGTACACAGGCTCCCATGATTCGCTGCCGAAAGATACGCTCGTGCAACGAAGCACCTCCAGCGGCACTCGAGGTATGTGTGTGCGCGAGGCCACCGCTCCCAAGGCTGTCGTGGATGACGTGAGGTACCCAGGCAATCTCGTGGCCGTCGTGGCTGTCGTGACTGGCGTGTCTTCCGTGGCTGATGTGGCTGTCGTCTGCCCAAGGATGTCGTGGCTGACGTGGGCCACGTCTGCGGAGTCTCTGCCGTCGTGGCCGACGTGGGCCACCGTGGCGGCACAGAGCCCCAAGGCTGACGAAGACTTTGACGTCAGGCGGTGCGCGTCCGCAGTCGCCCGCACGGAGGCCCTGGGCGTGGACACGTGTACTACCTGCCCCCTGGCTGCCAAGGGGCTTAGAGCTCTGGCCGTGGGCAGGTGGCTGCGGCCCGACAACAATTCCAGGCTTGGCACGCTGGCGCGGATCCCTCTGAAGACGCAGTCGGGTGATCTCAGAACTGATGGCGCTGCTGCAGCTCGCACCGGAGACCAGGTACCCCTGGACGCTGGCGGTGGTATTCTTGTGAATGAGACGTGCGCCTCGCCGTGGATCATCACGTAGGGCCAGGAACCTCAGGCAGAATATAGGAAGCGCAGGAGCGAGCTGATCTGACCCGAAGCCAGATGATGTTACTGGGTGACTGAAGGAGCTCTTGATCCACCTGTCGGGTTATGGGTCAGGGCGGCTACGGTGGGTCAGTGTGGCCTCGTTGGGAGCCGTCTCGGGGGTCTCTTGGAGCCTGTTTGGCCACCTTGGGCCCCTCAGGGCCACCTTGGGGATCTCCTGGGGACGTGTTGGGGCCATGTTGGGTCGTCTCGGGGCCCTCCTGGGTTGTCTTAAACCCCTCGGGAGGCCCTTTTGGTTATTCCGAGGGCTCCCTTCAGACGTATTGGGCCCTTCTTGGGTCATCTGGGGCTCTTCTTGGGGCCCTTTTGGGCCGTCTTGAGGCGACCTCCAGAGAGCGCGCCCACAGTGACGGAGCAAAGGGGGGGGGGTCCCCCTTTAGCTACCCCCCCTCTCCCTTGAACCTTGAACCCCCCCTGCTGGAAGCTACCCCCTCCCCCCTCCCTGTTTCGTCCGCCCCTGGAAGCTACCCCCCCCTCCCCCCTTTCGGAGGTTGGAAGCTACCCCCCCACTCCCCCCCTTTCCAAAGTAGCTACCCCCCCTCCCCCTTGGCTTCCCTCTGCTGGAAGCCCGCCCCCTTTTTTCCCCATAACCAACTCCCCCCCTTGGGCCCTCCGGAAGCTCCCCCCCCCTCCCCCACTTTCCAAAGGGGAGAGGGCTTAGCTACCCCCCCCCCTTGAACCCCCCCTGCTGGAAGCTACCACCCCCTCCCTTGAACTCCCCCTGCCAGACGATCCTCCCCCGTCGCCGTCGTCGTTGGCGTCGCCGCCGTTTCCGACGTCTTCGTAAGACGCCGTCGTCGTCCTCGTCGTCATTGTCGCCGCCGTCACCATCATTGTCGCCGCTTTCGCATGACCTCGTCGTGGTCGTCACGACGAGGACGAGGTCATACGAAGACGGCGACGGACGACGGACGACGGACGACGCGCGACCGACGACGACGACGACCCAGGGTCAGAGAAAACGAGACCACGACCCAGGAGCTGAGAAAACGAAGAAACGAAACAGGGTCCGAGAAAACGAGACCGCGGCCTAGGGGCCGAGAAAACGAGAAAACGAACCAGGGTCCCCCAAAAAAAACAGACCAGGGTCCAAGAAAACGCGACCACGACCCAGGGGCCGAGAAAACGCGAAAACGAACCAGGGTCCGAGAAAACAAAACAAACATCCAGAAGCCAAGAAAACGAGAAAACGAGACAATGAACCAGGGTCCGAGAAAACACGATAACGCCCCAGGGGCCGAGAACACGAGAAAACAAAAAACAAACCAAGGTCCGAGCAAACGAGACCACGATCCAGGCCGAGAAAACGCGAATATCGGGCCTAGAAAACGAGAACACGCGAATATCGGTCCGAGAAAACGTGAAAAAAGGAATCAGGGCCCGAGAAAACGAGACTACGAACCAGGGGCCGAGAAAACGAGACAACGAGAAACTGAACCAGGGCACGAGAAAACTGAACCACAACCCAGACGCCGAGAAAACAAGAAACGAGAACACGAACCAGGGCCAGAGAAAACGAGGCCACGCCCCAGGGGCAGAGAAAACGAGAAAACGAACCAGGGTCAGAAAAAACGAGAACACGACCCAGGGGCAGAGAAAACGAGAAAACAAGAAAACTAACCATGGCCCGAGAAAACCAAACCACGACCCAGGGGCCGAGAAAGCGAGACAACGAACCAGGGTCAAACAAAAAAACACGGACCCAGGAGCCGAGAAAACAAGAAAACGAGAAAACGAAACGGGGTCCGAGAAAACGAGACCACGACCAAGGGGCAGACAAAATGCGAAAACGATAAAACAAACCAGGGTCCGAGCCAGGGGCCGAGAAAACGAGAAGACGAGAAAACGAACCAACGTCCGAGAAAAAAGACCACGACCCAGGGGACGATAAGACAAGAAAACAAGACAACGGATCAGGGTCAGAGAAAACGAAACCACGACCCAGGGGCCGACAGAACAAGAAAACAAGAAAACGGACCAGGGGCCGAGAATACGAGACAACAACCCAGGGGCCGAGGCGAAGAGAAAACGAGAAAACGAAGCGGGGCAAGAGAACACGAGACCCCGACCCGGGGGCCGAGAAAACGAGAAGACGAGAAACCAAACCAGGGTCAGATAAAACAAAACCACAATCCAGGGGTCGAGATACGGAGAACATGAGAAACCGAACCAGGGTCAGAGGAAGGGAGACCACGACCCAGGGGCCGAGAAAACAAAAAACGAACCAGGGTCAAAGAAAACGAGACCACGACCCAGGGGCCGAGAACACGAGAAAACTAGGAAATTAACAAGGGTCCGAGGAAAATTGACACCACGACCCAGGGGCCGAGAAAACAAGAAAACGAGATCACGAACCAGGGCCCGAAAAAACATCACAAAAACCCAAAGCCGAGAAAGCGAGAAAACAAAACAACGAACCAGGGTCCGAGAAAACGAGACCACGACCCAGGGGCCGAGAACACGAGAAAACGATAAACCAAACCAACCAAAGTCCGAGCAAACGAGGCCACGACCCACGAGCACAGAAAACGCGAAAACGAACCAGGGTCCGAGAAAACACGACCACGACCCAGGGGCCAAGAAAACAAGAAAAAGATAAAAAGAATCCTCCCTCCGGCCGTACGTGAAGGACGAGCTCCAGGTGGTGGGCTGCAGCCTGACGCACCGACAGGACGACGACTGGGGCGCCCTGGCCGCAGGAGCCGGAGGCGGGGTGGGTGCGCGCCTTGGGCGCTGCCACCGAGACGCTCCGGGCTTTCGGGCAAACGCTCCGGGAGGCAATGACCGCAGGACTTGGGCCACAAGAGGCAACGGCGATGCTCAGGTGGACAGCCCAGGGCTTGACGAACCACCTCTTGCGCTCGAACCTGCAGGACCTGGTGGCCGTCCGGGCCTACGACACGGTGCTTCGCGGCCTCTGGAATGACATCCTGGGCGTCGACATGACCGATCGGGAGTGGGTGCAGTCCTGTTTGCCCCTCCGGGATGGCGGTCTCACGGCAGGCGTGGCCGAGCCTCGGCGGGAGGCGGCGCACATCGCCGCGTGGCTCGACGCTGCTCCGCGGGTCGCGGCGGCGCTTGGGGCCACCTGCGCCGAGGCTCTCCTCGCCACGGGCGCTGCGGGTACGCAGGGATTTGAAGCCGCTGTGGTGATGTACAACGCTTCGGTCGGCGCAGCCCACTGCCTGCAGACGTCGCTGGCCCAGAGAGAGCGCCACAGACAGAAGGACCTGGTGGGCCCGCGGATGGAAGTGATTGCAGGCCTCGCCAAAGCTGGCCTGGACCACCACCAGCGCGGTCGCCTGCTGTCCGCGGGGGGCCCGGGGACTGGCGCTTTCACCACGTTGCCGACTAAGCCTGAACACAGGATGCATCCTGAGCTGTACCGCATCGCGTTGCGGCGGCGCCTTCTGATGACGGGCGCAATGCTGCTGCGCGAACTGGAACCGCAGACGCACTGTCGAAACACATCCCGAGAGGGGGTGCTTTGCGGAGCGGTTCTGGAACCCGACCAGCACCACGCCTTGGCGTGCGAGACGGGAAGGCGCCGCGTGGCGCGACACGATCGCATTCGCGACCTGCTGGCCCGCTGGCTTGCCCGGGCGCGTCCCAGCATGGGTCCAGAAGGAGCAGACTATGCCCCAGTGGCAGAGGACCCGCCGATCCGTCATGGATGGTGTCGAGACGGCGCGCGTCGAGACGGCGGTCCTTGACGTCGTCTGGGCCCGCCAGGGCGCCGCGAAAGCGGTGGACGTGGTCGTGGTTAGCCCGGACAGTACTGACGCGAGGAAGGAGCGCGCTCGGGCTGAGAAGCCTAGCCTTGCAGCGGAGGACACGGCCCGCGAGAAGCGGCGCCGGTACCCGCCGGGGCCTACGACGCCTTTGCTCATTCCTTTTGCGATCGAGACTGGTGGACGAGTGGGCTCTGCTGCGAGACAGCTGATTCTGGATCACCTGGACCGCTCTGACGGAGAGGCAGGAGCGTCTGCCGATGCCGTCGCTTTCTGGCACGAGCTCAGTGCTGTTCTGCAAACGGCGGTTGCTGAGCAGTTGTTCAGCGCCCACAAGCCCCCTGTCGTCGGGGGCGGGCGCTGAGCACAGTGGCGAGCATGCTGGCGGGCCCGATGCGTTCGCCGAGGACGTCATCAGGGGCGAGCATGCCGCTGGCGCACGGCAAGCCCGATGCGGTTGCCGAGGGGCTGGGCCCCCGTGCAAGCATCCTGCTGTGCACTGTCTTCTCCTTCTCCTCCTCTTCCCTCCTCCGTGGTCGTTTTGGCTACCTCCACCGTCGCTTTGTTTCAATCTGCTGGTCCGCTCTGCTGGTCCGCGCGCATGCTGCTGCAATCCGCCTCATTCCTCTCTCCTCCTCTCTCCCTCTCTTCCTCCCCGCTCCTTGCCTCCGATGGGCGCGCGCGCGCCTAACGGGGGGGGGCGGTGGCGCAGGTCCCCCGGCCGTGCGCGCCCGTCTCCCTTTCCTTCCTTCCGGTTCTCTCCTGCTCTCTCCTCTCTCCTTCCTTCCCCCCTTCCCTGTCTTTTAGTGGGGGTGGCGTGCCCTGTCGCCGGTACCTGGGTGGAACAGCGCCCTCCACCCAGGAACTGAGAAAAATGTATTTGATGGGCACGCCCCCTTCCGTGGTGGATTTGGGACTGCCGGCCGACACGCCTGCCCCGGTGGACATCAGACCTAAAATAGCTCTGGTGCCGGGGCTGATTAGCAGGAGGAGGAGGAGGAGGAGGAGGGAGGAGGAGGAGGAGGAGGAAGGAGGAAGGAGAAGGAATCGGGAGGGGGAGGAGGAGGAGGAGGAGGAGGAGGAGGAGGAGGAGGAGGAGGAGGAGGAGAGGAGGAGAGGAGGAGGAGGAGGAGGCGGAGGAGGAGGAGGAGGGAGGAGGAGGAGGAGGAGGAGGACGAGGTGGAGGAGGAATCAGGAGGAATCGGGTACCTTTTCCTTCCCTGGTCCTCCCTCCAGATTCGCCTCCTCTTCCCCCCTTTCTACATCCTCCGTGTCAAGGGGGTCTCCCAAAAACCACACCGGCCTCCCCAGGTCTCGGCAGGCCCCCAGAGGCCTCCAAGAGGAACGAAAGAGAGGCAGAGTCGTGCAGGAAACCTCGATCCTGAAGCTTGCCCCCCCTCCTCTCCTTGAGCCGCGCGGCCAGGGAGAGGGGCGAGGGGGCGGCTTTTTGAGAAGTGTATCTATACATATATATATATATATACAAACACATATACAAACACACAAACATACAACCATAGAACCATACAAACATACAAACATACAAGCATACAAACATACAAACATACAAACATACAAACATACAAACATACAAACATACAAACATACAAACATACAAACATACAAACATTCAAACATACAAACATACCTACATACCTACATACCTACATACATACATACATACATACATACATACATACAGACAGACAGACAGACAGACATACATACATACATACATACATACAAACATACATTACATGAATGCATGCATGCATGCATGCATGCATGCATGTATGCATGTATGCATACATACATACACACATACATACACACATACATACATACATGCATGCATGCATGCATGCATACATACATACATACATACACGTACTGTATATGTATATGGCGTGTGTGCATGTACGTACGTATGCAGATATGCATGCATGTATGCATGCACGTATGTATGTATGTATGCATGCATGCATGCATGCATATACGCTTGCATGCATGCATACGTGCATGCACTCATGAATGCGGACAAGAGTGAGGGGCGGGCGCGGGCGACGCGGGCGTCGAGCCGGCGGGCCTCGTGGCCCTCACCTTCCCTGTCGATGGCGCCCTCCTCCTCCTCCTCCTCCTCCTCCTCCTCCTCCTCCTCCTCCTCCTCCTCCTCTTCCTCGTCCGCGTCCTCGTCCTCGTCCTCATCGTCGTCGTCGTCGTCGTCCGCCTCCTCCGTTCTTGGCTTGGGCAAGTCGCGGGTGGGTCGCGGGCTCTCCACCTCCACCTGAAAGGAATTCAAAAACAGCCCGCCGCAGGCGCCGGAAATTTTGATTTGCACACTGAACGCGGTTTGGGTCGCGGGTGGGTCGCAGGTTCTCCACCTGGAACGACTGCAAAAGGAGCCCGCCGCAGGTGCCGAAAAATGTTGGGTGGGTCCCGGGGTGGGTCGCCGGGTGGGTCGCGGATGGTCGCGGGGTGGGTCGCGGTGGGTCGGGTGGGTCGTGGGTGGGTCGCGGGGTGGTCGCGGCGTGGGTCGCGGGTGGGTCGCGTGGGCTGCCGGGTCGCGGGCGGGTCGCCCGGGGGTCTCGGGTTGGGTCGCGGGCGGTTCGCGGGGTGGTCGCGAGTGGGTCGCGGGTGGGTCGCGGGTGGTCGCGGGGTGTCGCGGGTGGGTCGCCGGTGGGTCGCGGATGGGTCGCGCGGGGTGGGTCGCGGGTGGGTCGCGGGGTGGGTCGCGGGTGGGTCGCGGGGCTGGTCGCGGGTGGGTCGCGGATGGGTCGCGGGGTGGGTCGCGGGTGGGTCGCGGGTGGGTCGCGGGGTGGGTCGCGGGTGGGTCGCCGGGTGGGTCGCGGATGGGTCGCGGGGTGGGTCGCGGGTGGGTCGCGGGTGGGTCGCGGGGTGGGTCGCGGGTGGGTCGCGGGGCTGGTCGCGGGTGGGACGACGACAACAACAAACAACAAATAACAAACAACAAACAACAAACAACAAACAACAAAAACAACAACAACAACAACGAGAATCCGCCTCGCAGAATTCCATTTCAGCCACGCACCCAGGGACAGTGAATGACCGTTCGGGTCAGCCCCCCTACTTTGATGTAGGTATGTATGTGTCTATGTGTGTATCTACGTTTGTTTGTACGTATGCATGCATGTAGGTGTGTGTATATGTACCAACGTATGTATCTATGCATGTAGGCACGTATGTGTGTATGTATGCGTATGGATGTATGCATGCGTGCATGTATGCATGTGTGTATGTGTATATATGCATGGATGTATGGATGTGGAAATGTGTATGATGTGTATGTATGTATGCATGCATACATGTGTGTGGCCGCCTGCCAAAGCAATATGAGCCCCAGAAGCCGCCCCACAAACTTGACCCTTCCGCCGCCTTTCGGTAGCCTTCCGCTGGCTTCCGCCAGCGGGTCCGCCACCTATTCTACCTCCGCGGGCTGCCGCCGAAGGCAAAGATGAGCCGAAGGCGAGCGCTGATGTGTACATACATATGTGTGTATACATACATACATGCATGCATGCATCTACAACACACACATACGTGCATGCATGCATGCATACATACAAAGTTACATGCATGTATCCATGCATGCATACATAACTGCATCAACACATGCATACATGCACGTACACATAAATACATACATACACACACATACATACATACATACATACAAACAAACATACGTATGTACATACATACATACATGCACATAACCAGGCATATATACACACGCGTGCATGCATGCATGCATACATGCATGCATGCATGAATGCATACACACATTCATACATACTTGCATGCATGCATAGAAGCGTGCATACACATTCATGCATTCATTCATACAGGCACATATACATACATACATACACACATACATACATACATACATACATACATACAAACAAACAAACATACATACATGCATACATGCATGCATGCATGCATACATACATACATACATGCATAATACATATATTCATGCATACATACATACACTAAAAAACATAGTCATGCATGCACACATGCACACACAAACAAACATACATACATACAGACAGACATGCCTACACATACATACGTACCTACACATACATACATTCATGCATACATACATACACACAGACACATATGTACACATACATGCTCATGCATGCGTGCATCAACACACACATATAGAGAGAGAGAGAGAGTTACACAGAAAACAATCAGAGAGAGAAAGGTGCCGTGCAATAATCAATGCATAATGATCCGAAAAGTGTAGGGCTCTCGTCGCCCAAGGAGCCCGCTGGCGACCGCACTTCCCCACCCGGCGAGCCGAACTCTCCGCCCGACGCGCGCCGCGCTCATAAGCTCCGCCCGCGGAGAGCCGACGCGGGCAGCCGCCTCACCGCCTGGTGCAGAGCGGGTTGTCCGACACGGCGCCCTGGCGAAGTGCTGGGAGCAGGAGCGCAGCATTGAAGGGGCCCCAGGACACACAAATAAATACACACAAATAAAAAGATTCCCCATATGTTCTTATATTTTCTGGGCTTCTGTCTTCCCCCCCACTTCCCATATTTTCCTATCTTTTCCTGGGAGTGGACGATTAATTGTGTCTGTGTGTATTTTCCCCTCCTGAATCATAACTCTTGGGGTACGCCCTTTGACAAGCGCAAGAGGAGCCCCGTGGCTGGTTTTTTGAATCTGAAAAACCAGGGGCTGGTGGTCTTCATGAAAAAAGCGATCCTCTGAATTCGCAAAACACTTGTATGGAACCGAGACGGCACGACGACGGAGACGACAGACGACACGACAACGACACAGGCGCGGGGGGGAGGAGGGGGAGGGGCGGGCAGGGGGCGAGCAGGCCCGCGCCCGGCCCGGCGGGCCTCAGCCCCAGCGGGCGCGCGCCTCGAGGCGCTGGCCACCAGCTCCGCGGGGGCACACGCTTCGCCGACCCGTGAGGGCCCCGAGGTGCCGCAAGGCTTATGCGGGCCATTGGGAGCTGAAAGAGGACGCGTTTCACGGGCGTTTGCCTTGGGAACATTCGGCGGCGCGATTCAAGCCGTGGGGTGGCCCCCCCCCCAACACTCGGCGCCGTCGATCAAAACCAGGGGGACTCCCCTCCCCCCAAACCCCCCCCTCCTGAACACCCCCCCCCTTCGGCGCCGGCGCCGGCGCCGGCGCTGGCGGCCGCCAGCAGCGCCCACGGCGGAAACGCAGCGACGATGACCATAGGCAGCCCAAGGGAGGGGGGGGTCAAACCTGCCCCCCCTCGCGCTAGCGCCCGCGCTGGCACCGGCCAGCAGCGCCGGCGCTGGCGCCAGCGACGGCGGGGACGCAGCGACGATTACCACCACTACC